AAATATCAATTTATAAATGAGAACATGTTTTCACGCACTTTAATAAAGATAACTTGGACACTGTAAGACATATTCTGACAATAAAGAAAAAATGTAGTAGGGAGCTGGAGTCATTCTGGACCAATTTCACCCATTTTCGACACTAATCCACAGAATATTCAAGATTGGACTATCATTTAGTTTAAGATATCGTACGTATAACCGATATATATAGGGTATAAAATCAACTGTATATTTGGAAATCCTTGTATGAGCTTTGTGTTTACGCCTTAAAAGATTTACACGATTTATTTATTTTAGAAAGTGATTTAAATTAAATAAATTTAAATTTAATTTAGATATTATCCTGTCAATGCCGAATAAAGTTAACGGTTAGTTTAAAAATCATTGTATGACGTATATGGATTCTAAGGGAAGTATTGACAAGATTTTRTCCATTTTTGACAAAAGATCACATTATTACAAGAAAAAAATATTTTTAGTAGCAATAATATGTCTTACAGATTAAATTAAAAAAATATTTTTAATATCAATAATATGTCTTACAAATTAAATGAATACCTCAATGCACTATTTTCGTAAAGTTTTATTTCGATAACGTCATCAGCTCTCAAGCTCTATTAAAGCCATTTACCCATTTTTGGTCTAGCACAAAGAGTGTCTTTTCATTCTAACATTATTGATCCTTATACTAAATATTAAACATCGTGCCTGAATGAAATCTATTATTTTTTCTCCCTCCTATAGTTAAGTGAACTCGTGTTAGTTGAAACTCTTTCGTAATTCCTCTATTAACCTTAAAAAAACTAAATCGATAGCATTCATTTTAAATTCAAAATCTTTTTTGGGAAGCCACGTTTATCTTTACATTCTACAATTTTTAAAAATTTTCAATTTAAATAACTGAAGTTGTCTTAACGAAAATGGTATCTGTTAAACTTAGCTTTTGACCTCAAAAGCCTAATCAAATAAAAAACTTTTTTATTTCAAAACTCAGGGTACACCTTGTTGTCATCTCCTCAATAAAGGCCCACAATTACATTTACATATCTGTTGTTTACGCAAGTGTGCAATTCCCATTAAAAATCATTTTTATAACACACTAGAAATCCGCAGCATATGCTTGTGGCACGCCACTCTCCTTCACACCTTATGTTGCACATCACTATATCCACATATAAGAATACACACCGTGTATCGTAGTGACGGCTGGGTGAGCGAGGAAAAACGCAAGTAAAACAAGCTAACAAGATCAAATATAATTTAAGAGATTTACTACATTCGAGTTGCAGTTTATGAAGGTGTGTTGTTGCTGCTTTTGGTGCTTTTTGTAGATACATATGGAGTCAGCTGTTTGTGTCTACTGAGGTTTTTCAATTTATTTCGCTCTTCTTCTTTTACTTCATCGCCCTTCTTTTCCATTTTTGAAAAGCTCAATTTTTATTGCTCATCAAATTTAGTTGATATAAATCTTAATTGCCGACCCAAACAAATACACAATGTGTATCTGCAAGCTGCAGGCTACGTCTGGCCACATTTCACTGACTGCCTATTAGACGCCAGTGCGCTTTTCTCATTGCAAAGTACARTGGAGTGGTATATGTATGTATACTATGTAATTTTGTTTGCTTAGGTTTGTACGTTGTGATCTGTTATTTTACTTTTCTTATGAGAAATGTAAACACTTATCAAAAAGAAATAGTGCTAATAAACCCAATGCAAATAAAAAATGCTAGCATTGTGTGTTTGCAAAAAGACATTGCTGCTACTTAAAACAGTAGCCCTAAACATAATATATGTGTGTATGTTTTACTAATTCTATAAAATATGTGAATTGAAAATTTTGAACGTTTTCATATATACAKATATATATGTATATATTATATATATGTAATTGTTATATATATATGTAAACATTATGTGCGTACATGTATTCACAAGTGTAAGCCTAAAACTAACACATTTAGCGGCGAAACCGGCAGCTTTGTTATGAACGTTTTTAAATTTATTTAACAACCACAAATCATTAGTGCGACGTAATCAATGGGATAACTCTCACATGTGTTTATATATGGTACATGTCTTACGTCCAAATGGTATGCAAGCAACCATGGCAATCTCATCGATATAAAGAATCAACAACAATAATAAAAACATAAAAATACGCATATACATATATAAATTGGGTGAAACTTGAATTTTAATAAGATTTATTTATTGTAGTATTATTCGGCGGTGGCCCAAGCAAACTTTCATTGTTGAAGTCATTAGCATTAATTAACTTTTCTAAATATACACTGTTTGTCTTCTAAATTATTTTAAAGAAATATCTTTTATTTTATTCACTTCTTATAATTCTACTTATCCAAGTTATACCATTTGGTTACATTTAATAAATTTAGTAGATATTCGAAAACTTTTAAAAAAGTACATACCATATTTCACAATACAATTAAGCTATATCAACCAAACTTGCTTAGGGATAACTTTGCACAAATAGTTAATTTGAGGTACATATATTACCTCACTTCAAAAAATTGTCGAAATCGGATCATAATTTTTCAACTTTTCACTTTCTAAGTATGTAGACCTCGGTACCACTACTGAAAATGTAGGTAAATCGCTGAGATTCCTACAGTATTGATGCTCATAGGTAGTAATTTCCTGATAATAGTGTGCCTATATGCCAAAGACGATTGGATGAGAACTTCGTTATACATAATATATATACTTTCGAATTTCAACGTATCTTAATGACATTCAGTGGGCCTAATTTTTTTTAATTGTAAGGTGGTAAAATCGGGTTAATACTGTCTCTAATTTCACATATTTAATAAAGAAGTTTTAAGCGTCTGATCGACTTTATGCCGTATATATCGAGACATATGTATGTAAGATATCTTAGGAAAATTAAACACAAATACCTATAATATTAGATTTACTATAGACTAATTTGGAGAAAGCGTTAATATTAATGGGTGATTAAAGTATACTTTATGGTATACATTCAATGCGAGTTATCTTCATAAAGTTTAATGGAAACAACGTTCTCGAGTATATTTGGTATATATGAGGTATCTAGTGATTTCCGACTACGCATTGTACCGTAAACTGTTGTCCTAAAACACATATTAATGAGCACATACATATGTATATCTGTTTTGGGTAAATTAAGTGGGTTCTAAATTAAATATCGCAGACACGAAAAAAATGTTAGAATGAAAGAAAATCAGTCTGTACCCTATTATAGAAATACATAACATATTAAAAATGATTGCAAAACATTGATAATTTGATCCATTTTTTAGAACATTTTTATCCTCTCGAAAAATATTCTTACTTACCCTTGCTACCATATAGCTAATGTAAACATAAATATCCTCTTGACTACATACATATTTTTCAATCAATGATGGATCGTGATGAACAAAAAGAACAAAATCGATGCAGCCTCCATATACATATGTACCCAGAATAATAATTTAAACGATCAAATATGATTTTCTTCTTTACTTGCTTAATATAAGACTTTGCGAACACCTAAAAGTATTGCCGTAGTTTTGATGCTTTCAATTTGCTAAAGTATAATACTTGCGGTTACGCACGATCTTAGCGCTTCCTTATACTATGTTAATTTTGCACTTTTTTGACGTGAGGAAATTGGCGGACAACGGAAGCGGTGCTTAAAGCGTCAGGCACGACCTAGCATATTTAACTACACACGTGGTCTATCACTAGCATTAAATCAAATTTTTACACTCCTGCTCCACATTGGTTGAACATAACACAGCGCATCACTWCATCCATTTTTTTTTTTTCGAATGCAGAGCAGTGGCATTTATGGTATAGTAGCTGGCATTTCGTTGTTTACATTCTGCACTTTTACGATGTAAATATTAAACTGAGAGCATACAAATTTGGTGGACAAAAAAGAGGAGAATTCGTGTATAAAAATAATTCGCATTGCCTTTACTACATTTACTTTAACATATCGTTACATTTCTTATCGAAAACTCCGGTTACTCAGAACTATGATATAACCTCCTAACAAGTTGTTCAGATAAGTCCACTATATGCCTCAGCAATTGGTCGATTAAGATTTGGTCGACAATTTTTTTATTTCACAAAATTTGGAATATGCTATTAATCAAATAAGCAGTACATTCTACGAATATATTGCTCAGACCGGTTCACAATAATACTTATATCGCTGCCATACAAACTGATCGAATATAATCAAGATAAATATATTTACATATGTGCATAAGAAGGGTGTTTTGTCACAACGTACTTCAAAAGACCTTTTTGTGCAAGTTTTTATCTGGGTGTTTTTAGATTTGTATATTACAAAGTGAAACAGTCAAATGAATGTTATATAAGAAGTAGGCGTCGTTGTATCCCGATTTCGCTAATTTTCACATTGTAATATTGAAATGTCAGAAGACTTTTTCAAAATTTCGTCTTGCAGCTGTGACTCCCTGTGCCAATTCATAGTTCTATACCTCAATTTAGTGCTTCGTTAGTGCACTTTACAGGTCTTCTTCCTCCTAGGAACTTGCCTAACTTCGTATTAACAATAAAAACATGTACCAAATCTGATCAAGATATATTAATTTTTGTTCAACTTATCGCTTTCACAGAGCGGCAGACGGTTTAACAGACAGACAATCACTCAGATAAATTTATTATTTTAAGATGATACAAACAATTGTTAGGTGAAAAAAACTATTATCTCTGCAGAAACGTGTTACAAGACTAAACCCCCGTTAACTTCTGTGCATTTAACGTTATTCCTTGTTCTTTTTCTTGTACAAATCAAAATTTCTTATATACAGCATTAACTGTTTATTATATTTTAAAAGTTGTTTATCGCATATTTTCTTAGGAAACATAAGTATGCGGAAGAATTAATATAATATATTATTGGCTTTCATTATTTTCTAAAAGTTAGTGACTTACAAATTAATTAACAATTCTCCATTACTATTGTCTCATTATAGGTAAGATAAGATCAGATTTAACACAATACGGCGGAATATCAGCAGACATGGGTAAGGATTTATTAATTTTTTTTTTTTTGTACTTTATTTTCTTATTATGTACTTTGAACTTTCTAGATTGGTGTTGGGTTTTATGTGTTACGATTATAAATAAAGTTTATCATAGTTATATACATACATGCCTTCAGTCAAAAAGAAAAAAAATAAGGAGTATTTTTGGAAAAGAACACAATAAGAATGAAGTATTTGATGTTAACTATTGTCAATTTGCTTTAAATCGCGAAAGCATACTGTCAGGTTTTCGAGGATGCATTCAAATTACTATATGTAAAGTAAACTGAAAAAATATTTTACTGCTTTCTTTAATTTTATGAGCACAAGGCGTTCCAAGAGACTGCTTACTATCTCAAATCAGAATATCAGAATAAGACTTTTGTGGTAGTCGCGCATGCGCACAATCTTTGGTGGCGACATTAGTAATCACTTGTAAGTTGCTACTGCAATTTTACCGCCGTTTCCACTATTTAGTACAGCGTCGATCATTGACTATCATGCCAATGAGTGAGCAGCCTTACAACTATTAACCCTACTTTGTGACCAGTTCGATGTAAGTGATTCAATTATTATTCGTAATGCTAAAAATTCCTCCTGATTTAAGTTAACCACTTTTATTCAAATTAAAAGAAATTAAAGTTTACAACTACATTTCTTTAGAAAGAATTTTATTGCTATTAAAATTTGTACTGATCAAATTCGTAGAAGTCAGTCAAATGTTCTGTTAATGATCGTTTAATGATCAGTTTTTAATTCGTAATTAATAAATAATGAAACAGCTTAATGAATAACAAAATCCAAAACAGTTCAAAGCTCCTAGAAACTTTGGCTATTCCACACAAGAATAGAATTGTTTTACATACAATTCATTATATTAACAACTATATTGATATTTGTTATTCAATGAAATATATATATAAGTATAATGGTAATATAATATATATATATGGGTACATGTGAAAAAAAAAATTAACTTTAACTCCCAATAKCTAATATCATAATGTTGGACATTTTGATATATTATTTCTATATTATATATTATTTATCAATTTTGCATTTCACGTACATTCAAGTCAAAATTTTTTGTTGTTGCATTGTACACTCGACCATTAACACAGCGCTTTGAAAAGAAAAAGGGTGTAGTATTTGAAGGAATGTTAACTTAAGGGTAATATGTTTAACAACGTAGGCGTGTAAACAGTATTTTGTGTTTGTATTTTCAGCTGGTGAATATATCCAAAAAAAACTGGCTCAAAAGGGTTAAACTTGATGCAAGCATTGCCAAGCACTTTATGACAATACTTCATCTTATCTTTGCTATTGTCGCCCATAATTACACCTGCTCTCTAAAAGAGATACATATAGATATAGGTTTAYATATGGTTATATACATATACGAACATGGTCGATGTAAGGACCTGAGTTGATTTCTAACTACTTCCCTATCCATACCACAGCCTTTTAAAGCAAGTGTTTTATACTTCTAATGAACAAAGGTTCTTTAAGGAAATACTCAGGATTAGATGCTTGCTATGCGCACGAAAAGATTTTATTCATATAAACATAAGATTACTGTAAATCAGTAACAGAATGAGTAGCTCCTATTGAGCGCACGGTAGCACGGTGATTCTTCTGCCTGGAAATCTATAGCGAATGAAATAGTTAGTAACCATAATTTTTTTTTAATGAACTATCGGAGTATGATATTATATGTACTTTGTTAATTGTAATCATTTATAAGATATATATTTTAAGATGATAATGTAGTCAAATTCGTTTCAGGGAAATTTATGAAACAAATTACTGTAATATTTAGGCTCATCGCCATCGTAGAGTTCATGACTGTAAAAATCCTTTAAATAATAACTTTTTGCGAAGTAGTATTTGTTTTTTTTTTTTCTTTGAAGGTCACAAAACGTAGCTAGATAGATTAACTACAAAATTCGTCACAGTCGACTAACTTAATGCTCGTTGTTTTAACAAATAATATTCAATTAGCAATTTGAATATGAATTATTGCCAAGGGCAGTGAAAAATAAAAACCCTAAGAAACTACGTACATATTCATATATATACGTTCATCAGTACACTGCAAAATTATCCTACATCTGCATGATAAAAAAACATGCACATAACGTCCCACCGCACAATCTTAGTCTGTACGGTCAACTCGGACCTCGTTGACGGTTGTTTTTCACTCCACCACCACTTGTCAGTATCATGTAGCTTACATAGCTGCAATGCGGATAAACAACAACAGCATTTCAGCAATAAACAGCGCTTCCAGTGGTGTAATACACAACTTGTTTACATCGCAGTCTCAACGACATATGCATGTGTGATAAAAGTAACAATTATAACTAACCCTCTAAAAAGAATTTACTTACCTAGAAAAAATTGTGTGTTTTATATTATCGAGCATATATCCCTTTCACTGTCAATATGAGTTTTAAAATCTAATATACTAGTAAATAAGTATACACCTATACATATACAAGCTAATGAAGTCGGCTAATCCCGAATATCAACCCACAGTAATTCTATCTGGCTGCCTCATAACACAGGACTTGCAAAGTAACAATAACGCAAATTGAATTCTTATCACACTAGTCTTAAGCTCAAAATTTGCGTTCATTGTTCGGTATGTTGCATATGTATAAAAGTGCATTGTTAATCTCATATCAAAATAATAAGCATTCACAGTTTAGGCTTAAATTGAACTTCTTTAAAATTCTATGATTATTAAATTAATAAATACATTGGCACACTGTAATAATAATTATTATAGACCTCATCCGCCATAAATTCTAACAAAGCTAGAATCGATATCTTGAAAACTGCAGATTATTTTCAATAAAAGCTTTCTTATATAGTAAAAGTTAATATATTTTAAAAACTCGATATACTCGTACAAATCAATTGCATCGTAACAGTGAATATTATTAAACCAATATTGTCATATCAACGAAAACATCAATAAAACTGTTGTTGTGCTACGACTATATGTTCATACACTCATATCGATGTATGTCCTGTGGAGCTACAAAATGTGCACTTTCGTTATTTCCGTGTGTGTATGTAAACGGAATAACCAATAGTCATGCAATATATTTATGAAAGTTTTAACTTTTGCTATTGTGATTGAGGTGTGGAGCTAAGGAAGCTGAAGAGGAACGAGAGAGTCAAAATGAGACCGAACGTAGAGTACCGCATGCAACACTTCGTAAGCAAACAGGTGATGTTATAAAAACCAACAATTAATAATTTTTAGTAACATCACAACTCGCGTTGTTGCAGAAAGAAGCGACGCTTAATGTTTAACAAGCGCAAAACGCCTGTTAATTATCACCTGAAAAGATTAATGCCCACTTAATATGAGTTAGCCACAGAGCGAAAAAATACAAAACAACAATTGCATGTTGCTGCAGTTTCCGCGTAAATAGCTCAGTTTGCGTATCCACAGCTGCAAAACATACTAACATACAGTTGCATTCATGTGTTCGTTAGTATTCCATTAGTGCAAGATAAAGTGGATGTTGGCAGTGTACTGACATTGCTCAGATGCCCCCATGCGAGTTGCTGTTCACCGGTTTTGTATTCATAGTTTGTTAAACATTCACTCATTAAGCTGAACATACTGCATATTATAAAAAATAAAAAAATTTACTCCAGAGTGTTGTTACTGTGCACCGCATCTGAAGATGAATATTGCAGCAAAATTACATTTACATATGTATGTATGTATATCAGGGCAATAAAAAGTGTTACTTCGCATAACTGCTTTACTTTGCTTCGAATACTTCAATGTGGTCGTCCAGTTTCCGTTGTTCATCCATATTTGTTGTCTTCTGACACTTTCACTTATTTGCTGTTCTCCCTCATCCGTTTAACTTGTTCCTAAAATTCTCTGACTCCGGCGGTACATGTTCATTCGGTGCAATTTGTCAATATTCATTTTTAAAATTTATTAACTGCCAAACAACAGCAGTGAAAGCAAAAACAAAGCACTACACTACTAACAAATTAGTGGCTGATAATAGCAATAAAGTCAAGCAAACGTGAAAAAAATTCGATTAAGGTGAGGCAGAGTGTGTCTGGCTCACATCGCCGGCGGTAAACTCGTTTGTTTTCGATTTTCTTTTGCAAATGCGTACAGGAGCCGTTTCTTGATGATGTTCGTGCGAACATTTCTTCACGTATAAACATACATACATCAAAATATATTAGGGCATACCGTTTCTTAAACTTTGCATGTGCGTTTCTCCACCTTTTACAAATGCTATACAAACGTGTTATATACCCACAAATATAATACACAATATATTTTAAAACTTTTAAACTTCAGATGACCCTGTTACGACCTTGAAACCTCAAATATAAAATAATTTAATTAAAGTAATAACAACGCACTGTAGATATAATTTATTCAACTATTTTCATACTATGCGTATATTTTTCATCTTTACAGATACATTCACAATTACGCTCCGTACTTTTTATAACTTGATTGAACTAATCTCATTTTACAAAGCAAATATTAAACAATTTTGWGTAAAAATAGATTTGGTAGTTTTAGCAATTTATGCACATATCAAGTCTTCACTGTCATATCTAATATTAATACGGAAGATGTATTTCTTGAATCGATATTAAACATATAGTTTATATTAAGGATAAAAAACTATATTCAAAATGAGCGAACAAAAAAGTATTTATTTTTAAATAGAATTAAATCATATTTTAATCTGAAAAACACTAAACAAATTAAACACACTTATTACACAAAACCAGCATTTTTTTTTT